TGCACAGGTGCACTTACATGCAGACATAAAAAAATCTTTAATATAAACAAGTAAGTTGGACGTGGTGGTGCACCTCTTTATTCCAGCACTTGGGAGGCAGAGGCAGGCAGATCTCTGTGAGATAGAGACTAGCCTAGTCTACATGGCGAGTTCCAGGCCAGCTGGGGCTACAGAGGGACCCTGTCTCAAAAAACAAAAAAACAAGAACAGATGCAGTCGCTCCTCCCCATGTCTGCCTCACTTTTCTATTGACCTTACTGGAGTGAGGAAACAGGGACTAAAGTCACATGAAAATCTAACATCCCTAAAGGGGTGGTAAGTTAATGTGCTCATATTCCCGGAAAGACCTAGAGCCAGCATCAGGCACAGGAGCTCGATGAAGATTACCTAGATGCTTCCTCTGTCCTCAGTTGACATCCCCAGCAAAGGTCAAGTCCCTCTTCCCCTCTTCCTTCTGGCTGTAGAACTGTGACCACTGTCAGTCACCTGGGGAGGACCTAATGAGCCAGTGATTGCAGAACAGTTAACACAGGGCTCTTGTGAGTGTCTCATAGATCAAGGTCTTCTGTGGCTCTCAGTACCTTCTGGATAAATAACCAACGCATTGCATGGCCGGTTGCATGATGCCTGGTCCTGTGGTGGCCCTCTGGTTCTTTCTCTCATTGCCCCAGTGACAGGGGGCCACTGAAGTCCCATCAAAGATCCTGCTCACTTTTCTGCCTCAGGGCCTTTGCACATTAGTCCTACCTTCTCACTCCCTGACTCCTGCTCTGCCTCCAAGAATCAGCTGCACCGCCTCCCAGCATTCAGGAAGCAGAGGCAGCCTGGTCTACATAGTGAGTTCCAGATCTTTGGGGCTACAGGGAAACCCTCTCCCCATCAAAACCAAAACAAAACAAAACAAATATGAATTATTTTTACCTCCTTAGTGTTAGACTAAAGACCTACGTCTCTCCAGAACTTCCTCAGCTTAAATAATGACGTCTGCTAACACCCTATTTCCAAATACTGTTCCATTCTTAGTAGGGGTTAGGATTTCAAAACTGGCAGTTGTGTATGTTTGGGGGAGATTTGTTTGTTTGGTTTCTTTTTGAGACAGGGCCTCACAGAACCCAGGCTGCCCTGAATTCACTATGTACTAGAGGCTGATCTTGAACTCCTGATCCACCTGCCTCCACTGCCTGAGTGCTGGGTGGCAGACCTGTACCACCACACTTAGTTTTATGCGGTGCAGGGGATAGAACCAAGGGCTTCGTGCATGCAAGCACTGGACAACATCCTCAGACCCTCCAATATGCATTGTGTCTGGGATACAACTCAGCTTATTTCAGAATGCTCAGAAACAGTGGATCTGGTGGGACCTGTTTTACGGTTGCCAGTTGCAGACCCGCCAAAGGAGTAAAACTAGAGTGCTAAGGAATTCTGTTTGGAGGAGGTGCTCATAGGCCTGGCGGGACTTTTTCTCCTTCACTTCAATGTTCCTGACCCACTAGTCTGTCCATTCTTCCATCTCCTTTGAGTTTCTCATGTTTTGCCAGTTTCCACATTAAGATAGAGTCCCAGACAGATACAGAGGCTGACACCGGTAATCTCAGCCCTAGAGAGGCTGAGGTCAGAGGACTGCCAGGAGTTCCAAGTCAAATAAATAAGGCAGGGGCTGGAGAGACGGCTCAGTGGTTAAGAGCAGTAGCTGCTCTAGCAGAGGACCTGGCCTTGGTTCCCAACACCCACGTGGTGTCTAACCATCCAGTTCCAGGGGATCAGATGCCCTCTTCTGGCCTTCACAGGCATGGCACATACATGGTACAGTTTCACACATGCAGACAAAACACTCAGAACACATAAAATAATAAAAATCTTAAACATGATCCCCAATGTAAAAACAAACTAAATAAAAGTAATTTTAGCAGAGGAAATGGCTCATGAGTAGAGCACCTGCCTAGACTCCAACACAGAGGGCCTGGAGGGGTGGCTCAGCAGTAAAGGGCTTGCATAGCGTATTTGAGGTCCCAGGTTCAATACCTGGTGCCAAGAGGAAGAAGGATAGGAATTTCTTTTCTGTTTTGCATAACTTCCACATGTGTGTGTCTATGTTTGCGCATGGGAACACACAGTCATGGAGGCCAGAGGTTGGCATCTGGTGTCCTCCTCTGTTGCTCTCCACCTTGGGTATTGAGGCAGGGTCCCTGGCTAAACCCAGAGTTCACTGTCTGACCTAGTCCCAAAGCTGGCTTGCTCTGGGGATCCTCTGTCTCCACCTCCCAAGGGTGGGATTGCAGGCAGGTCACCAAGCCCTCCTAGTGATGACATAAATGTTCTGGGGATCAGAACTCATGACCTCATGCTTGCATGGCAAGAACCCACTGAGCCATCTCCCTAGCCAGGACATTCTTTAAGATAAAATAAGTAAACAGCTCTCTTTTAGCTTGATCTTTAAACTTTGCTTAATCGTTGAACCTGGTTGGTTGTAAATTATATCCTTTGAGGAATGTGGCTTCAAAACCCACAAAATCATATACCTAGAGGCAAGGGAGATGGCCCAGTTGATAAAGTGCTTGTCATGCAAGGAACTGAGTTTGAACCCCAGTGCCCACATCACAGCCCAGTATGGTGGTACCTCAGCACTGGACAGGTGGAGACAGGCAGATCCCTGGGACTTGTTTGTTGTTCAGTCTAGCCAAATCTGAAAACTCCAGGTTCATGAGAGACTATCTGCCAATATGAGGTGGGACTGGAAAATTGGCTCATTGGTCTTGAGCTCTTGCTGCTCATGTGGAGGACCTGAGTTTGCTCCCTGGCATCATGTCGGGTGGCTCACAACCATCAACCCCAGTTCCAAGCGATCTGACACCTTCTTTGGCCCTCCATGGGCTCTTGCACATACACATGGTATGCATATATACACGGAATGCATGTGTGCTGGCTAGTAAGCTCCATCAGCCATCTCTGGGTTCAGCAGGGAAACACTGCCTCACTATATAAGGTGGAGAGCAAAGGAAGACGCCTCTGGCCTCCATGAGCATGTGCCCCATGTGCAAACGTGAAACGTGGACACACACACTATACACATACATAAGCAGAAGGAAAAAGAGGAAAGAATGGATTTCCTATCCTTCCCCTCTCTTGCCACTGAGTATTGAACTCAGGACCTCAAATATGCTAGGTAAGCCCCTCTACTGCTAATGGATGCTCCCAGCCCCTCACTGGGGGATTCTAGGTAAGTTCTCTACCACTGAACCACACCCTCAATCCCTCACTGGGGGATTCTTGGTAGGTGCTTTACCACTGAGCCATACCCCCAGCCCCTCATTTCATTGGGTGAGTATAGGCAGATGTTCTACCACTGAGCCACACCTCCAGTCCTTCACTGGGGGGTTCTAGGCAGGTGCTCTACCACTGCACCCCAGCCCCTCACTGGTGAATCTAGGCAGGGTTTTTTGGGTTTTTTTTTTGGTCTTTTTGAGACAGACTCTCCCTGTAGCCCCAGCTGTCCTGGAACTATGTAGACCAGGCTGGCCTTGAACTCACAGAGATCTGCCTGCCTCTGCCTCCCGAGTGCGTGTGCCACCACACCCCGCGGCAGGTTTTTTTTTATGTTTTTGTTTGGTTGCTTATTTATTCCTTTATTTTGAAGCTAAGGCCAATTTTATTAATGTTTAAAAGAAAAAGGAACAGGGCAGAGAAGCTGGAAATCTCAGCAGCTGCCTGGGAGGAGAAAGATGAAGCTGAAGAAAGCCATGCTATTGTAAACAGCGAAAAAACAGCTGCCACGCAAGGTCAGTGGAAGGAGGTTTTAGGGAAGAGTGAGGAAACCCAAAGTGCCTGGGTTGCCGCTGGTATCCTACAGAAAGCGACAGAAGGAAAGGTTATGCTTTTCGTGTAATCAGAAAAGTGGGCAGACCTTAAATGAAACCTCAGCCACAGCTCCGGAAATGAATGATTTATTCTGAGACACTTGCTATGTCCCCCAGGGCGGCCTGGAACTCCTGGCAGTCCTCCTGCCTCAGCCTCGTCTCCCCCAGGGCTGGGATTACAAACCTAGGATTATCGGGCTGGGGATCTAGTTTAACACGGAAACTGATAATACTTGAGTAGCTGGAAGAACAAAGGTAGGATGGACAGACTAAGGGATTAGAAATACTGACTTGAAAGAAGTTGGTGCTTTTAACTGCTGAGCCATCTCTCCAGCCCCGTGGGCCTTATTTCTGTGTCTTCATTACTGTACCCCAAGAACTTCAGCACAAGGCACGCAGTAATAGTTAAACGACTCCCAGGGTGATTCCCCGTCTTCCAGGTGGGGAATTGAGGTTCAGGAGTCCTAACCCCTCCATTCCCTCTGCCCACTTTCGGCATGAGGTGGGCCTCAAGCTCCCTATGTAGCCGAGGATAACATAAAACAACTGACTCTCAGGTATTCACTTGCCAATTGCTAAGGTTACAGGCGACGCCCCCCTCCCAGTTTATGGGGTGCTTGAAACTTCTGTTGGGGGTTGGCACGAAAGCGCCATAAGAGGGTTTCCCGGTATTGGGGTGCACTGGGGTCCAGCAGCCAGTCCAACATGGGACAGCTGAGCTACAGCTCTGCCTGCACCGTGCAGCTTCACTCCTCAGCCCCAAAGTCTGTGGACCCGGAATCTATCAGAACTGGGAACCCGCCCCGGGAGCCTGACTTCGGGAAGCGGGGAGGTAACGGACACCTCGAGACTTGGTTTCCGGTGACACCCCTCGCAGTCAGGCTGTAACCAGACCACACTCTCAACCACGCCCTGATGCGGGCCTCGGCCCCGCCCCGCGGGCTCTACCATCAGGCCAGGTGGTAACAGCGAGGGACGCGCAGGTGACTGTGCCGGGGACCCTGCCTGTGGGGAAGGCAGGGGTGTCCATCGAGGGGAAGAATAGGGACATCCACGTGTGGAATCGCGTCCCGGGCTGCGTTCCCCTCCGTGTCTCGGTATCTGGGTCCCGTCTCCGCCCTGTCCCCCCGCGCGCTTGGTTCGCGCCGAGGCCCTCAGAGCCGGTGGCTTTGCACAGGGCCCTAAGCGCAGACCTCGGTGCGTGGGACTGGTGTGGTGGGTTGCATCACTTGCTGTGCGGGACTGTGATCCGCTGCAATCCGCTGCAGTTCGGAGCTATGGCGCTCGCCGTTCGAGTTGTGTATTGGTGAGCTGCGGGGAACTGCGGGAGACCGCAGCCTCCCTCTCCGCTCCGCATCCTTGGTGCCAGGGACTCCCTCCTCTCCCCACCTCCCTCCTGTGCCCACATCCTTTGTGTTAGGGTCCGCTCTTTACTGGTTCCTATGCTTTGTGTCAGGGGCGCCTCCTTACCCTGCCCCCATCCTTCTTGCCTGGGAACCGAGGCAGAGGGTGAAGGGTCCGCTCCCTAGACCTCCCCAAGACGAAAGGGACTTGCAAGTGGGTGGGACTTGTGACGGGGGGGGTACCTCTTGGGGTGAAACAGGAAACTGAGATGCCTGGGTCCTCTTTGAGCAGCTGACTCAGCGCTGGGGGGAGGGGAGGGTGGTTTTCTCTGAGGTCCTTCACCTTCCCTATCCAGAGCAGATACGTGTTAGAGAAGGCTGGGAAAGGTTCCTGTCTGTGTTTAGGAAAGACTTGGACAGGGCGTGGGGTGGGGGTAACAGGATGAATTGTAGGGCTGGTTGGTGGTGATGCTCCGAGGCAGAGCACTTGCCTAGTGTGTAGGAAACCCCGGGTTCCCTCCTCAGCACCATAAAACAACTAGGAAACACAAAAACGTCTAAGACCCAGGCATGGTGGTATATGCCTGTAATCCTAGTAGTTGGGAGGCAGAGGCGAGCTGGGCTGTTTAGTGAGATCCAGACACAAAATTAGTAATAGCAAATAGTAAATAACTAATAGCCATAAAATAAAAAAGGGAAAGAAAGAAACTGGACCCCTGGGTGCAGGCCTGTAATCCCAGCTCCAGGGGAGGCTGAGGCAGGAGGATGGCAAGTTCAGGGTGTACCTGGGCTAGAATGAGTTCAAGGCCAGCAGGTGAAACTTAACCTAAAAATAAAAATTAAGGAGAGGACTGGGGGTGTAGCTCAGTGGTAGAGGCTTGCCTAGAATGGGTGAGGTCCTGGGTTCAGTCTGTAGCACTGTAAAACATCTCTTGCTGGTTACTGCTCATTGGGTGCCTGTGTTTGTAACCCCACCCCTCTCCTGGCCTCAGTTTCCATGCATGTAGCTCAAAGGGGTGTGACCTGAGCAGTTAGCACGTGTGTCATGCGTCGCTACCTCCCTGTGTCCTACTGGAGGGGGACACAGGAAGGTAAGCCATTTTGTCTTGAGGGTTTTTCTCCCCTGCATCTGACACTCAGCTGGCACACAGTAGGTGCTTCATAAATTCCTGTGCAAAGGACTTCCCATCTCTGAAACCCTGAAGGGGAATTGTAGATTCATCTTACAGGGGAGGAAACTGAGGCTGGGAGAGGCCAAGGCCCAGGTCAGCAGCTCAATGCCCCTACAGCAGATGACTAGGTATCTGGAATCTGGGATCTGTGACCCAGCCAGCTGTCTGTGTGGCCCCCTCTCGGGCCATGATCAGCTCTGCTTTTCAAGAAGCTCTTTCAGGAGCTTGCTTTGACCTGCCCAGGCTCCCATGAGGCTGTTGTACCAGATTCCAGTCCAGAAATTGCTGGCTGTGGGGCTTGGGAAGCATGTGTTTCATCCTGTGTGCCAGGCGAAGGGCTGATCCAGAACTGTTTCTTCTTTGGCTGTGGGTGGGTGATGGGGTTGGTGGGTGGGATTTTTCCTGAAGCGGCTTGGTTCTAATTCAGTTCTGCCTGTTGTTTTCCCTCCCTTGTTGCCTTCTCTGTTTCATACTTGTGGTGTCTATTTCTTCTCTCCCACTGCCTCCCTCCCACCCCCATTTCTGGGCTCCCTCCCCTGTGGGCTTTCTCTGTATATCTGCACCTTTGCACATCTCTGTGTCTGGTGTGTCTTCCCCTCCCTTGAGGGTCTCTTTTGCCTCCTCTTTATCCATTTCTCCTTCACCTCACCCGTTCCCTGCCTCTGCTGGCCGCCTGTGCTCTCTGGGACTGTACTGCCCGTGGACTGGGTCTGCCTTCGTGGATTTACCCACCAGTGGAGCTTGAGGCTACAAGCCCAAGGTGAGTGATCGGTGGTCCTTGGAAGCAGGTCAGGGTGGTTTGGTGCCTTAGAAGGAAGGCTTGCTGGGTCTGGCTGTGACCCCTCGGCCTATTTTCAGTATCTCCAGCTCAAGGAGCAGCTAGAAGATGAATTCCCCGGATGTCTGGACATTGTGAGTCTTGGAACTGGGGCCAGAGAGTCATGTGGGTCCCTTGTCTGTCCCTGGGTCCGGGTGGCAGTGGGAGTGGGTTAGGTGATCCCCGCCTACCCTCCTGGGAAGGGCGAGGGTGTTCTGG